AACTTGGGATCTAGTGGCTAGAAATCAGACAATAATGCATGCACTACATTTTATGAGAAATGGGTCGCAATTTACAAAACCAATCAAAGATTCGTCATCGCAGAATAATGCAAAAAAAATTACATGTGCATTAGAATGAGTAAAAAGTGCACTCGTTTACACTATTCACGTGAAAATGTTTTTCTATTGTAAAAATAAACAATGATTACTTTAGACTCGTTTTTCCTTTATTCTAATAAAAAAAATTGTTTTGCAAAAAAACAAATTATACTTCATATATATAAGAGCACCCAGTGGCGTATCCAGAAAATTTGGCGAGCGGGGGCAAACTTGCACTACAATTTAGTCTCATATTTGACAAATGGCAAATCGCATTACTAATATTGTTTGATTAAATTTAGTTTGATATATATCTACAACTCTACAAGTATGAATAAAAAGAAGATTAATTTATATTACGGGTGTGTCCGTGTGTGAAGATGTAATTGCAGATAAAATTTAAAAAAATTACCTAAATATAAGTTAAACATAACAAAATTTAGTGATTTTTTTAGCCTTTGATTCTTTTAATATGAAAGAAACACTCTTAATCCTATTTTAGATTTTTTTCCCCTACATTTAACACTTCTTTTGAGCAATTTCTTATAAAATTTTAGACATATATATAGGAGTTGGGTCGGGGTTGAGTGGGGGCAGCTGTCCCCGCTGCCCCCATAGTGGATACGCCACTGAGAGCACCCGCTCAAATTATTCTCTGTTCCGCTACTGTTTAGTATGAATGTTGAATGACTGAATCTAGTTTAGATATTGCACTACTAGTCTACTAGAGATCTGGAAATTAAAAGTCATACGAAAAGAAAGGTTTGCAAAGAATTGAAAGAGTTGAAGTTATTATAGTATGCATTGCGACATAAATAAAAACAAATAAAGCTTAGTAATTTCATCTCAACCATCATCCCTATTTATTTAGTTTGCATTGACAATTAATTAATGGACTTGAAATAATTGTATTGTATTCAAAACTTAAATTAAAGTATTCATATAGGCCTGCCTGGCTCGAAATTTAAGCGCAAAATGAGTAGCTGTATATATGGATTTGGCCTGTAGTAAAATGTCCCCGAAATGAAGACCAGATCGTACGTAATGAATATGCATGATATCTCAGTACACTTCGTACTAATTAAGCTACCTATATCTCACTACTCCGTAATTGACTTCTTTAAGTTTGCAATGAAATGTGGCATCTCATATAGGAAAATTACTTATGATTAATGAAGTGCATACTAATTAAATTACTGAGGAAAAGGAAAAAAAATTACTCATGTAATATATGATATGATACACACATGCATAACTAATTTTAACTATTCAAATTTCAAAGTTTCAAACGAATGCCATGCTTAAAGTGTATGAAAAATACGTAATAATGTAGGAAGTACAAATTAAATGATACATATGGATCAGGATATGATTACTCTTCCTTAATGCACAATATTAATTAAACGATCCTATCATACAAATATCTATCAAATTCTTGTGCTAATTTACTCACGCAGTTCATACTAAATTACATACCTTCATGATGAAACTATTTTCTTCAAACAAATTCCATGTTTAAACCTACTATATGAAAAATACGTAAGAATGTACAAATTTTGAGGATGATACATACGGATCGGATCCGGATAACTCTTCCTCAATACACAATATTAAATGATATATATGATCCTAGCATACAAATTTCATCAAATTCTTGTGCTAAATTACTCACGCCGCAGTTCGATCATACTAAATTATATACCTTCATGAAACTATTTTCTTTAAACGAATTATATTCCACAAACTATATATGAAATACGGAGTATGATTAAGACAATCTTCTGTCGATCAATACACAATATTAATTGATCCATATATAATACAAATCTCTATCAAATTCTTGTGCTTTCATATCAAGATGATAAAGTAATTAATCAACTACTGTACTATACATATATCATGATAACATTTGGCCGCATGCTTTCTTGAGATGAAGGGCAAGAACCTTGTTGACTTTAATGGCATAGTCTCTTTCAACGTTGGAGGACGGCTTGAAATATGGATGCTCCAACAATTCCCTACAACTCGGCCTCCTCTTGGGATCTTCATGAAGGCACCGTCTCATCAAATCTCCAAGAGAATCTGAACATTCTAGAATCTCCTCCTTCTTCACCATCTTCTTGCAATTGTTGAAGCCGCAGCCAAACACTTTCTTGACTATGGATGACGATGGGTTTGACTTTTTTAAAGAAAAGTCAACGCTAATATTCTTCCCCTTCACCAAATCCCTCACTTCCTTGTAGGTAGACACCGGGATCCGGCCGCCGGAGAGAACCTCCAATATAAAGAGCCCGTACATCCATACGTCCGCCGCCTTCCCGTGCGCCATATTCGGGTCATTGGCGAACTCCGGCGCCACCCAGCACTCCGCCGGCGGCTTAGTCACCCTCTCGCACATGAGCTCCGGGAAACCCAACTTCACCGTGGAGAAATCCTTGCCGTCCAAGTAAACCAGCCCGGCGCAAACGTCGCCGTGAGCTCTGTCGCCGGCGGTGTGGATGCAGTCCAGCGCCTCTAGAGTTTGGCGTAGAATGGAAGCCCTCATAGGTTCCGGCAAAGGAGACGGCAAGCTGGTCATCATCGTCCTCAAGGAAACCCTTGACACGTCAGACATGACGATCCATAGCCGGTCATCCCTAGGGTTCTTGAAGGACACGTGGAGGCCCACGAGGTTCTTGTGGGGACAACGTTTGGCCACTTTGTATGCTTCCAGCAGCTCGTACAGGCACTCCATCTTGTGGGTTTTAACGGCCAGGATCTGGACAGGAACCTTAACATCATCCGAGGATGACGGAGATTTGAGTACGGCGGCGGCTTTCATCATGACGCCGGAACTTGTCGTGCGGATGGGCTGCTGATCAAGAACGTAACCGTCTTCTCCACGAGCATAATCTTCTGCTTTCTCCATAGTTTCTTGCTGGATCTCCTTCAATTCTCTCCAACAATATAATACTACGTATACGTTAGTAGAATATAATGAAAATGCTCTCGAAGTTAGAAAATCGTACGTTGATTCTTACAAGTAATGTAATGATATTTTTAGGGTTTACTCAGTATTTGCAGTAGTTTCAGAACCGACTTATATCTCCTTAGCTTGTCCTAATGGGGATTAAAACATATATACGCCGCAGTATATTTTTGAGTAGTTAAAATATTACGGAGTACATGTTAAAATACGGAGTATTCTTTTCCTTGTAAATTATATATGCTTCAATCTTTAAATACTTAAATATATTTATAACTATGTACGAAGTATTAAACCTACATTAAAATAATTTTTAATTAAAGGAGTATATATTTTTAAATCGGATTTCTTAAGTATTTTTAAACATTTGGTCGAGTATATTGAAACTATATTTTAATTTCTTGAAAACCATAGTTCAAATTCTATACGCATATTCAATTTTTTAAAATATTTAAAATTTATTTTCCGTTTTCATTGCTTATATGTAAATAAGTAAATTATAGATATGATATTTTAATTAAATTAAAAGAGTTTCCATATTTGAACTCCATATTTTTAGTTGTTAGAACATTCCACAGGAATATATATATATTTCCTAATTTCTACACAATAATCCTACTCCGTATAACCTTATAGTTGTAATGACTTACGAGTATTAAAGTAGTTTTAATAGCCTCAATTAATTAAACTAGTACGTTTAATTAACGCTGATCGGATTGCGGAACTGATATGGAAGGAAATACTGTTGCGATTTTCGTGGGAGGTTCATGTGATTCATTCATGCAAATTGCAAAATGATGTGCAAATTATACCGTGCGATCGCCACACCATGTGTATGGTGTGCTGATCCCAAAACGACATATTTTTTAATTAAAAAAAAAAGATCGTGACTGCAACAACAGCGCAGGAGAGCAAATAGGTCCTGGAAGAAGATCTGATCTCCGTGATAATCGCTAGAAGAAGAAACCTAGCTAGAAACGTGATCTCCTTGGTGTGTTGTATCATGGAGTCAAGCCTTGCCCCATCTTTGACCGATTGGAAGGCAACGATGATTGCTGGCCATCAACTTGCTTGCATGTCTCTATATTACACCACCTCTGTATTTCATCTAATGATAGCTGGTTACATTGCTGCAGAAATAATGCACTTGATTACAAATCTTCATATTACACACACACAAACATATACGTAGTTGCTATCCAAATTTATATACATTTTGGCTTAGATTCAAGTTACATTTCATTTTAACGCGATTTACATCTTTTTACATGTGACTTGTATCATTTTAAGCGCAAATTACATCATTTTATGCGCGAGTTACATCAGTGTAATTGAAGTTACATTTTGCTAATATACGAGTTACATTTGGAGGACTTGCATCAGCAAGTTACATTTGGAGGACTTGCATCAGCAAGTTACATTTTGCATACATGTAAGTTACATTTTCTATCAACACAAGTTACATTTAGCCTAACACGAGTTACATCACAAATAACCTCTGCTACCGAAACAACAAAAAAAGATTTCTTTTTCAAATAATCTTTATGCCTCTGATATTATAACACTACCAGAATGAAGGAACATTAATAAGGGCAGCTATAAGGAAACTTGGTTATAATAGGCTATTGCACAAGTTGGTCATTAATCCTTATTGTGAAAGTAGACTTTCATTTGACTATGAAATCCAATAAGGGATTAATAAGGAATCCCTTTGTTATTAAATTGTGCTGACATGTCCTTCAACCTTATAAGGGATTAATGGCTCCAGCTCCCTTATACAAATTGAAAAAAAAATTGTACCGTACATTCCATTTGTTATAAGAGATTAATAAGGGACCATCCCTTGTTATTTTTTTGAATAGACATCCCTTGTTATCTTGACATGATTTTGGACACTTGATATACGAGTTTTTTTTCCCGGCTTAAGATATGTATTAAAAAATCACATCTCCTTCAGTGATACTAGATTTACACCCGTGCGATGCACGGGACATAAATTCTTTAAATTATGTATAGATCCAATATAATAAAAGTTATATATTGTGTAAAAAATAATATTATATACAGATCAGATTGTATATGCAAATACCATTATTTTTGGATAAATCATACGAAGCATTAAGCAATGAATAGATATTTATACAATGTTAATTTCGACCAAGTGTGTTAGTTCAAAGAGGAAGAAAACATACTTGTATGGCTTCAAAGATCGACAATCATATGAAATAAAAAGCAATTTTGTGTGTTAAAGTTTTTAATTAAAATGAGCATACACATAGCAAGACCTTCATCAACTTAAGTATGCATATCAGCGTGTGGAGTGTAATACAACCCACACGTATTGTTTTCAATGAAATTGATATTCTCTTGAAAGCTTCGTTTATCGAACTATATCGATCTGAAATGCGCACAAAAAACATATTCATTCTTGCGAGATCTGAGTTTCAAAGAAATTCATACGTAGTATAACCCAAGGAGAGATAGCAAGACTCGGTCTCGAAACAAAATCGAAAAAATTGTAGTGGAAGAGAGACGTGAAAAGCGAACTTTTTTATATTATGTTTGAAACAATTTCTGCTTTAAAAAAATGTTTTTCTTAATGAAATGGGGAGAAGTGATTAAATAAAAGTTGATAGTGTTTGAGAAAAAAGTGATTTTGAAAAGTAAAAGTGAGTAATATTTGGTGAAATAAGTGTTTTTTGTGTAATAGAAAAAGTAAAAGCACTTTTGACGTGGAAGCCGAGAAAAATAAAAGTTGTAGTATTTGAAAAAATAAGTGTTTTTTAAAGCCAAAAGCTGAGACATCTTTGTTTGATACAATAGTACTCCATTTCCAATTGACTGATGAACCTCCAATGTTTGATACCCCTTGCTCTCTGTTCGGTGTCCAAGCTGAAGTCTTCATCCGTTAATCTTCTCCAGTGAGCTCGAGTACTTCTGTGAGGATTCCATCTCTCCACCGGTTCACCTCCTGGCCATAAGACGACATTCCGTGATGCCTAGCACCCCACCGATCCATAAGACGACATTCCGTGATATTTCCGAGAATGATTACAGCAAGATGCTCGGCCGTTCCCAGACAGATTTCTAGCAAAAAAAAAAAGTCGGACTCGCCTGTAGTTTCATGGCCGACGATCTCTTTCTCCTTCTACCCCAGTGACGCTCCACCTTACAGCATCTGAGCACTGTGCTCGAAGAAACCCTGCGCCAGGAGAACTTTCATATTTCTCCATCTAGCTTGTTTGATACTCTTTGACCTACGGATAGACAATTCTAGTGCACCAGGTAAGGTAAGGACAGAGCATTGGGCAGAGAGTGAACTACCTTTTTAACCGGTTAAAGTTTGGATAAAGACACGGTTTTAACCTACGGATATCTGTATATGTTTTGGCCCACCTTTTCTCCATTTGATGTGACTTTTTTGAGCGGGAAAATAGCCAAAAACTCCACTTCTTTTTATATATAGATAGATATTATTTCCCCATGAAACACATTTTAATTATTTTAGCCACAAGGATAGATAAAAAAAATCGAATAAAATATTTTTATATTGTAGGACTATTTAATTAATTTGACTTATTAAGTTTAGTCACCAACCAAAATAGACAAATTTAAAAAGAGGTTTATTACCTTACACGAGACAAAACTAGACCATGTAAAACTTAACATTGGCAGATGAGACTTTAAAATTTCAATTCAATTAAAAACATCCTCACTCTCACCATTAAGACCTGGGGCGGGTTCCATCCTAAAAGGTCAACCTAATAGGAGAAGTAGTCCGCGTGTTAATATGACACTTTGTTCATCCAAACGTTTCCGGTATAGGACATTTAACACCCCTCCTCACGACCAGACACTTCGTCTGGATCATGCAATCATTCATTTTTTTCATCAGTCCATTTTTTTCATCCGGCCGTTTTTATAATCGTGTCATCATTTTTGTCATCGGGCCACAGTTGATTCTACACCGCCGCGGCCTATCCTCCGTCTAATCCTCCCACCGTTGATTCTACACCACCGTCGTTGCCTATCCTTCTTATGAGTGTTTAAAATAACCGGCACAACAAGCGGCCGAGCCATCTCATTCTAACCAGATGGCTTCGTCCTCCTTGATGCAACTCATGGTAAGCGACAAACATGTGTAGTGCAGTCAGGGGCGGAGCTACTGGGGGGTCAGGGTGGTCAGCCGACCCCGCTGAAAATTTAAGATTGTAGAGCTCTGAAATATCTTCGATTTGATATATTATGGCTCTCGTAACTCATTACGAGTAAAAAGTTATGACTTCTGCAAAATTAGCACTATTTAAGTTTGAAATTAGTAAAATTGTGATGCGTAATATTAATTATATTCACAAAATAGCGTGTAATTCACTCGTTACTTACGTGACATGACTTAGGGACAGAGCAAATACAACATATCTTACTGCTACGAGTGCGTACTCAATAAATAATTCTTTTCTAGTAACAAATCTTGATACTAAACTGAGTAAGATCGAAGAGAATCGTAGAGTACTAGGGTAAGACAATCGGTCTCATCCGAGGTACTCAACTCAACCCGTATAAAACATGTTTATAATATATGTGACATATACGAAGTATATTAACCACATATACTCTATTAGTTTCATTTAAACTATCATTTATTTAAGCTATATTCAATTCGGGTATTGTCTAAAAGTAATCTACCGTTTTGATTCTACGTAAATTTGATTTCGACCCCGCTGATGTTGGATTTGCTAAGCTAACGGAAGAAGATAAGCTTAATATTTGATCTAAATTAATGCATGCGTATGAACTGAACGTAAGAGAAAAAAGGGAAGCATTCACGTAGTCTTTTTTTTTTGTGCTCAAAGCCAACTTAGCTTTGACACACACTTTTCCATTTATAAACTAACATACGTACATGCAGGTAGTTACATCCATAACCCACTAGGCACTTACCCACTACATGTCTACATACGCACAGTACTAACGTAATGCGGAGTACTAAACTAACATACGTATATGGGGTAACATGCATGCCTAACTAATAACATAATGTAATACTAAATGCAACTTAACTAATTGACCCAAATTAGACTAACACTAATGTAACGGCACATACGCACATTAGTACCGCTACAATACATGCACGGTGTCACGCGACGCACACAACTTGACATGACTCATCCCGCCGTGCACTAACACTCTAGTCTAAAATGCATCAATGACTCCAAATAAACTAAATTAAACATGACGAAATTATAAACAACAAGATTAACTCCAACAATCACCCCCTTAATCTTGTTGTCATTTATTTAGCGCCGGCTCGTAGTCGGCGGTCGCGAAGGCGAGATGTGCCTGCTCCTTCCTTGGTGCTGTGCAATCCTTGGAGAAATGCCCATACTCCTGACAGTTATAACATCGTACCTTACGGATGTCGAATGTACTCTTCTTCTTGCCGGTGCCGCCGCGGTAGCGAGAACGCCACTCCTCCTCTGTGAGTAGCAATTGACCTCCACCGCCATGGTCATTGTTGTCGACGCCGTCGTCCGCATCGCTCCTATCCTCCACCGTTTTGAGTCTTCCCACAAGCTCCTCCATGGACATGGTTTTAAGATCAAGAAGCTGTTCAATTGCAATAGCTACCTGGGTGTACTTGGACGGCACGATCCGAAGAAGTTTCTTCACGACCTTCACCTCCTCGAAGGTCTCACCGAGGGTGCGAATCTTGTTGGCGAGTCCGTTCATGCGCATGGCGAGGTCGTCGATCGTCTCACCGCTCCGCATGCGAACGGAATCAAATTCCTTGAGTAGAGTTTGTGCCTTGGCCTCACGGACACGCTCATCGCCCACACGCACGGTCTTGATGGCGTCCCATGCCTCCTTTGCCGTCGCCTTCACGGCAAGCGTGGAGAGCATCTCCGGTGGCACGGCTCGCAAAATTGCCGCTAGCGCCACCCTATCCTCGCTAAAGCTCCCGCCACCCTCGACAGCGTCCCACACGCCTTGGGCCTCCATGTTCACCTTCATGATGAGCGCCCACTCGAAATAGTTCGTCGCCGTCAACGTCGGGTAGATAACGGTGCTGTATGTTGGCCTGGTGGACGACACGCTGCTGTACCACCACCTCACGGCCGCCTCGTCGTGTCGGGCTCCGTCCACGACGTACCGGAGAGCGTGACGGAGTGCGCAAACCTTCATCGGCCATGGCTCTGATACCAAAATGTTGGATTTGCTAAGCTAACGAAAGAAGATAAGCTTAATATTTGATCTAAATTAATGCATGCGTATGAACTGAACGTAAGAGAAAAAAGGGAAGCATTCACGTAGTCTTTTTTTTTGTGCTCAAAGCCAACTTAGCTTTGACACACACTTTTCCATTTATAAACTAACACACGTACATGCAGGTAGTTACATCCATAACCCACTAGGCACTTACCCACTACATGTCTACATACGTACAGTACTAACGTAATGCGGAGTACTAAACTAACATACGTATATGGGGTAACATGCATGCCTAACTAATAACATAATGTAATACTAAATGCAACTTAACTAATTGACCCAAATTAGACTAACACTAATGTAACGGCACATACGCACATTAGTACCGCTACAATACATGCACGGTGTCACGCGACGCACACAACTTGACATGACTCATCCCGCCGTGCACTAACACTCTAGTCTAAAATGCATCAATGACTCCAAATAAACTAAATTAAACATGACGAAATTATAAACAACAAGATTAACTCCAACAGCTGAGTCATTTTTCTGGCTCCGCCCCTGAGTGCAGTCCAGCTATCCGATTCTCTTTGTAGTTCAGTATCGTTGACGATGAGTGTGTTTAAGCCTTTCTGTATTTAGTTTATGTCTTTACAGTTGGGTTCTTACAAGTTACATTTGCAATATTTGTAGCAGCTGAAAGAGGTCTATACATCAATTGTTCACATATTTGATATCAAGCTTCGGGAGGATGCTACAGATTTCTTCTACATACAAGACCAAATTCACATGATAAATGCCGACAGTTACCACTCCGGGAGGAGCGATCAACTCCAACAACATTAGCTAAAATTAGTTTGTGATGTAAATGTAATTATACTTCCTCCGTTCTCTTTTAATTGCAACAGTCAATATTTTATGTTTGCCAACGCACAAGTTTGACCATTAATATCTTTCATTCCTTATTAGTAACAAAATTAAAAAATTCATATTTTAAAATTTTAGAATAAGAAGAATTTAATTTTTTTTTAAATTTAATTTATAATACATTAATAAATAAAATATAATCAAAGTAGAATATGCGAATAGTGCAAAAAGTCCAATCAGGACCGTCTTTAGTTAATTTGGTGCCCTAGAAAAAAATTAAAATTATATTTTCATAGTAGTTAATAATGTTTTACACAAAAAATTATATATAGAGTAGTTGATTAAAATGCAATCAAGTATAGAAATTGAAAGCCAATCACAAAAGAAAAACTCATGTAAATTGAAGCATCACCTTTGAAGTACATAATATACAAAGGCTACTATTCTTCTTAAATTTTGAAGTGCAAAATTCGCCAGTAATTCACTAAAATTAAAGGCAAAAAAACACATATTTATTTTAAAAACATAGCTATGTTTCTCATCTATATATCGTGACACTGTTCAATGAAGATGTTTTACAAAAATATAGTACTAAATAATTATTAATTGTATTACAAAATTGTGAATATTTCACAATGAATAAATTAAGAGCAAGGTTTAAACAAATAATTATATATACTTATGATTAAAAAAAGATTATTTACAACAATGTGACCTCTTATTTATAAAAAAGATTATTGTATTGTATTGAGTTTTGTTAATGACAATCACCGTATTCCATAATCCATTGATTTACTTCTGTATTTTAATGTCCCTTTTATTTTGAATTATTTAATGCGTCGTATTTATTTTGTACATTTTCTCAATACGGAGCTGTATAGTTTTACCGTATTTATATGGTGCACAATTTAATGCTATCAATTCATAGGAGTAATAAAATCATTTTTTTCTGGGAAAATATAATTTTTTAATAATAACTTCAATAACGGATTTTGGCCTTATCTATCTATAGAATATAGATAATACATTTGAAATTTGAAAGATACAATTATAGTAAGTTTTGTCATGTGTCATCTTCTAAGTAAACCTTCATTATAATAATATAGATTCTCTTTCCACTTTAGTACATTAATAATTATATACTTACGTTGCATTAGTACGTACATGGTATTTGAGTTAGATTGGAACTAAGCTAATGTTACGTACGTTCATTCTATACGATGCCTTGGAATCCTACTTACGTTGCATTAGTACATGGTATTTGAGTTAGATTGGAACTAATTAATGTTACATTCCTAAAGGTATGTAATTGAAAATATAAAATCTCATATTTATTTCAAAGTGGTATAATTTTTTTTATTTGTACTCCGAATGCTACAAGAAGTATATCAAAATTCATAACTTTTTATTATCTTTCATATGACACCAATATCAAATATACAAAAAATAATACTTTAAAAAATGTCTTTTTTAAAAGTTTTATACTTCATTCGTCCCTTAAAACTTGGTCTACTTTAACCGGCATGAGGATTAATAAAATAAAAACCGTGTGATTGAGGTTTGTGCAGAGGAGAGAGTTAACTAGAACCATAAATTTTTTACTTAAAAGGAAAATGACAAAGTTAGTAGGACAATCAAAAATGAAAAATTGACAAAGTTTTAAGGGACATAGTAAATACTCCCTCCGTCCCGGGGAGAAGTTCCCAAATTCCTTATTTGGATGTCCCAAAAGAAACTTCCCATTTCCCTAAATGGAAAGTTATCCTACATTAAAACAGTGCCAAACAGTGCCAAACAGTGTCAAACAGTGTCGAAACAGTGCCAAACAGTGTCGAAACAGTGCAAAACAGTAAAATTTACCCCTCAGTAACTTTATTTCCTAAAAATGTGTGAAAGTCAACCCGGGAACTTCTCCCCGGTACGGAGGGAGTATCTTTTTTTATTAATACTCTGATTGTTACAAAAAATATATATAAAAATTAACAACTTTTTATTATCTTTCATATGACACCAGTATTACGTATATTTTTTTGGAAGAACCAATATTGCATATATAAAAATTGATTCTATTTTTTTCAATGTAGGATCGTTTTCTACATTGCACACAATTAATGAGGACTGATACCTTGACATAAAATTGCACAAACCCCATCACTTTTATTTATTGTTTTATTCTTTGCGATAGAATTTGTGAAGTTTTATTCTAAGCTATCACTCCAAGTAATAGTTGGATAAGGTAAATTTGTTCAGAAAAAAGAGTAAAAAATGCACTAATAATATGGCCTGACCAGATCAGGCCATATCCGATCATAACAGACAAATCAAACAAACAAATCGGTTCAATTAAAAACGTTTTAATGGAGTCTTTCCTAAAATTTAGAACTCTATATACTATCATTCATACCATATTAGTTGCTGTTAGGTCCCTGTTTTCTAGTCTATAAAATGTATGTATGGAAGATAGATCTGGGAATGAAGCTTTCCATTGATGTGAAGGTTTTACAGAATGATATGAATGTTTCAGCGTAAAAACCTTACACCGATATAGGCACTGCGGCACTAGGAATGTCGAAAAGCTTAACCTAGCCTTTCCCTTAAGGCATATTTATAGCCTGACGGGAAAGGTAGGTTTTACAATCATTTGGGCTCCTTTTCCTAGGAGGCCCATACCTAAAAAGGTATAAAACCTTTATTACAAAATTGCCTTAAAAGGCCTATTCATTATTCTAGCTAACTATAAACTAGCAAAGTAACATTGATCACAATTACAATGAAAATATCTCTAACAATCTCCCCCTTTGTGATCAGATGTTCTTGCTTCTTCTTTTCTTCACTTCTGAGCTTTAAAATAATGCTTTCTAAGATTGAGTGCATGCTCGTAATTTCTGAGAGACCTTCTTCTGTCTAGTTGTTTCTCGATGGCTTTCAAGATTTTATTGACTCTTTCCAATTCTTTGATTTCTTCTTTCGAGGCTTCATTCTGTCTTTTATCTAGATCTTCTTTCCTTGGCTGGAGCTGTTCTCGGATGATTTGCAGGGTCCCATCACAGTATTTTTGAATGTCTTCAACAATCATCAGACGCTTCTCTTCTTTGTGATTCAGATAAATGACTGAGATGGGCTTGTCAAATGTACCATATGCTGCAAAGGTTTCAAGCCCAGGTCTATCCAAGTCCGGTCGTGTAAGATTCGCCTTTGAATAATTGTGTTCAAGAGTCATCTGGAGATCATGGGAGGCGTAGAACCGAACTTGTCTTGTCATGAATCTCTTAATGGCCTCAAAACCTTCTCTAGCAAGTCTGTCTTTGTGCACTGGGAGCTCCCTGCATCTCATGAACATTTGATAAATATCATCCATGTGCAGTAGGAAGAAGTCATTCTCTTGACAGGTGAACTCCGAGCCATCTGTACGTCGTAGACGAAAGATCAGGAACTTAATCGTTTCCAAGTAGTCTTCTGTGATATCCAGGATTTTTGATATAGGACATCCACTTGTTGCGAGATTGTGATTTAGAACTTGTCTTCGTTCCCCTGTGGATCTGTGTCCTAGCATATACAGGTTACCTCCTCGGTATTTTCCTTTCAAGTGATTGATTCCTCGCATTTTTAATTCACTGAACTTCTTGATTTTTTCAGGTTGTCGCCAGATTTTCTCTCGGATTTCTTCTAGGAAGGGGGCTTTGATTCTAACAATTTCCCATTTTTCTTTGGCTGGTTCAGGTGCCTTGGGATTTTCTTTATGATTCTCCCCTTCCTTGAGTTCATCTTCATCGAGTCCAATCATTTGTGCATGATATTTGTTGAGGAATTCTCTGAGTTGCCAGCTTCGACACATTTCGTACTGCTCCGCTTCCACTCTAAGATCATCCCACTCTGTCCACTCGCGAGGCCACTGATCATGAACTAGAAGGTCTTCCAGTTCATCTTGTATTTGATTACCAGAGGGCTTAGAGTGAGCTTGTTGTTGTGTCGAAGGCGA